TTGGGTAGGCTAACAAGCCAAGCAACTTATGGTTCAAGTTGGGTAATTACTCTCTCGAGGTTTTACCCGTTAATTGGGACTACCATTCTCATGGGTCCATCCCAATTCCTTGTTGGGTTAATTTTGGAGTCATAGACACTCTTTCTCAAGAAGAGTCAAGACTCACTAAGCTAGACTTAGTGTTTGCAACCACCAAATCCTAGTTAAAACATAAAATTAACCCAAATATCAAACACCCAACATCATTCAAGCATTAAACAATCACACCCATTAATTACCCACACTAGGGTTGAGCCACAACCCTAGCTAATGGGTTTAGCTAGCCATAATAGCAACAGAAATTGAAGAAGTAGTAGATAAAATCAACATATTAATTAACTAAAATGTTAATCTACAAGAATCCACAATAAAACAAGATGAAAATGCCCAAAATAGGCTAAAACTTGCTTCTCATGAGTGCTGCTGCTATCTGATATCTAAAACTTAACCTAGAAATAATAAAATATTCTATTTATACTGTGCCAAAAAAATTGGACAAAAATACCCCTACGGGGCTGCCGCGGACCGCGCAGAAATGCAGCGCGACCGCGTAGGGGTCTTGGCCTTCAATCATTCACTACTGAAGCTAGGGACGCGGACCGCATAAAAGAGGTAGCGCGGCCGCGCAGGCTAATGGGCGCGGACCACACAACAATGAAGCGCGATCGCGTGGACACCAGCGCTGACCGCGTAGAAAAGAGCGCTGACCGCGCATGGAAACCCCTGAAATGGGTGCTCTATAAATCTCCTAGCGCGGCCGCGCAACAAATCAGTGCGGTCCGCGCTAGGTCCTTTTGTCCCTACTTCAATGATTTTTGACACTTGAGCAGGTTTCACTCTGTTTCGAGCTGATTTTTGACTTTCGTCATCTTGTCGCTCAAACCTGCAATCAAGCGCACTTTGTAAGCATTCTGGGTCTATTTTATGACAGTTCACACATAAAGCATAGGCAAGTATGGGCATAAAACGTGTTGAAATCACAGTTATCATCTCCCATTCAGCAACCCTTATCCTTGTTTCCTCCATGTTCAAGTGAACAATGCAACAAAAATCCTTGCCAAGTTGGTCATTTTGCTGCAAACTTCTGCATTTTTCTAGCTTTCTCTCTCCCTGCGTTTGACCCCTTATTACTGCCTCATGCATGCTCCCTACATACTGAACTTCACCAACAATTGCTAGGCTCCCTATATCCAAATGTACCTCCCTCCATTCTCCTAGATCATCTTGAATTGTTACCTTCTTGTGATTAAAAAGCCTCCTCATCTGATGCCCAATTCTCTTAGACTTTCTGGGCATCTGTTCTTCCTCTTTTCTTGTTGGTTTGGGTTGAGTGATTACCACTGATGGTATGCTGTTATAACCACCACCCTCTTCCAATAATTGTGCCTGAGATTGCCCATTTCTCTTAAACATTCTGGGCCCTAGTATCCAGCTATGATCCTGCATTGTGAAGTTGACAACTACTGTACTATTGCCTATCTGTAATGCCAGTCCATTGGAGTGAATGCCAAGCATTGATACCACCATTGGACTTTCATTAGAGAATAGAACAATAGCACATAATCAGTACCTGCAAAACAGAACACAAAGTTAGTGAAAAAATTGATCACTATGTTCTCCTCTATAAAGATTTGAACATGGTGAGACCTTGTCATGTCCTTCCTCATCTCCTGTCCTCCTCCTACTAATTTCTTGCAACTTTTAGACGTAAATATGGGCATTGCATCTTATCTCCATTCAATATCCTCCTGCCTTGAGAGTCTAGATCCCAGAACTCATAACATTCTATGTTTCTAACATCAAGTGCATAGTTTGCCAAATGAACAGCCAATTTGTTCCCCTCTCTATATATATGTGATATCCTTATGTTGAATTCCACCATTAACCTCTTGATCTCCTCCACTTGATCAGTGATGCACCAAGGTGGTTTCCAATTCCCCTCTATTATGTTTTTCAACAACAGTGAATCTGTTTGAAGCCATACATGAGAATACTGTTGTGCCCTGTGAATCCTCAGTGCCTCAACTATTGTTATTGCCTCTGCTTCATTATTGGAACCCACAACAATCTCTCTTCCTTCTGTATTTTTGAGATCTCAATGCTCATCCCTCAGACAAAATCAAATCGAGCTCCTCCCTGGGTTCCCTCTAGAAGCACCATCAGTATTAACAAAGGAAATTCCCATAGTACTTTCTCATACATCAATTGAGGAGTATAGTTTTGCAGCATGCTCAATAAATCCTGCCATTTATGTGGCACATGAATACCTAGTTTTCTAAGTTGCAGTAAGGCCCTTAGCGTATTTGATACCTGGCATATGACTCTACTAACTGAAACTGCATCACCATATTTCAAACTATTCCTTCTCTTCCATAATTCCCAAATAATACATGATGGAAGAGCCTGCATTATTGGTTTGAGTCTAGGCAGTACCTGGGCAGTCCAACATTTAGTAATGGCTTGATGAATCGTCAGACCTTGGACTGCAATACCTTCTCTTGCTAGGAATTACTTCCACATCATTGTTGCAGCTTTTGATGTGAAGAAGAGGTGCACTAAAGTTTCCTCCTTTGGCTCAGCACAACACCAACACCTCGATGGCATATGATATCCCAACCTACGCATGAAATCATCAAGGGGCAGTTTTGCTCTCCATACTTTCCGCATAAAGAATGAAATTTTGAACGGGAATCCTTGTACCCAAATCATCCTATAAGCTATTCTAGGATTATCCCTTCTTCTAAGATATTCCCATGCTGACTTTACAGAGAAATGGCCTTTAGTTTCAAGCATCCACACTGGAGTGTCCAGGACATTATCCAGTACAGGAGGTCTAATTTTTTCAACTATATGCAATGCCAATTCTTCAGGTAGCAGCTCCATCAATCTATCTACATTCCAAGATCCCTTATCCACCAATTCATACACATTGTTTACTTCTTCATCCACACCAAAATCAGGAGGAACTAAAAAATACAAAGCTCCTAGTTCAGTCCAATTATCATACCAGAAAAGTGCAAATCCCATTTTTGTTCTCCAAAAAATCTGATGCTCAATCAATTCCCTACATTTTAACATTTTCCTCCACTCATGGGATCCATTCCTCCTCCAAGGCACAACTACTGCATTCAGTTTTTTGCAATACTTTTGGCTCACAAATGAACTCCAAAGGCTAGGCTTAGTCCTAAAGTTCCACCATAGTTTGCAAAAGAGAGCCTTTGATGCATCATGTAATGATCTGAATCCAATTCCTCCTTCCTCACATGGCATACAAAGAGTGTTCCATGAAGCCCAATGTCTACTTGATCCTCGAACATAGCTACTCCAAAAGAACTGAGCAAAGATTTTGTGTTGCCTGTTAATAACATATTTAGGGGGGTTTACAGCTGATAGCAGATGTATTGAAATGCTCTGAAGGACATTAGCAATCAGCACTGCCCCGCCCCCTATGGGTAGTAATTTCCCCTTCCAAGCCTGCAGCTTATCAAGCACCTTATTGATCATAGGCTAATAATAATCCAGCTTTCTTCTTGCATAAAAATGGGACATCCTAGGTATGTGAAAGGAAATTCTTGCCTTCCAACCCCTGTTACCCTCTCCACCTTCCTGACTACCTCCAAGTCTACTAAATGGTGCATGTAAATGGCAGACTTGCTTTTGTTTACTAGCTGGCCAGAAGCAGCCTCATACAAGTATAGAATTTCCATCATTAACCTTAATGATGTAGCATCTGAGGAAGAAAAAATGATGGTATCATCTGCATATGCCAAATGTTTGATCTTGGGACTCCATTTAGGAAGACCAAATCCACAGAAATATAGATTGGAGTGCAGTGAATTCAGTCCTCTTGATAGAGCTTCAGCAGCTAAAATAAATAGAGTTGGTGATAGTGGATCTCCCTGCTTGACACCCCTCGATGATTTGAAGAAGCCATGAGATTGCCCATTGACAAGGACAGAATACCAGTTATTCCCTACCAAGTCATAAACCATCCCAATGAACCTTTCACAAAAGCCAAACTTTCTCAGCATTTTGGTCAGAAATAGCCATGAAAGCCTGTCATAGGCCTTTGTCATATCTAGATTGATTACTACATTAGGACCTGCTTTTGTTCTGAGCCTCATATCAGTAATAATCTCTTGAGTTAGTAACACATTTTCAACTATACTCCTTCCCTTTACAAAGCCTGCTTGTTCCTCTGAGATCAAATTAGGCAGTAGCTCCACCAATCTTTCATGAATCACCCTTGAAAAGATTTTGTTAATGAAGTTACTGAGACTAATTGGTCACAGATCAGAGAAAGTATTCACCTCCTTTTTCTTTGGTAAAAGTACCAGATTAGTGAGTGTAACACACTTTGGCAATTGCTGACCATTGAAAAAGGCTAGGACCATTGCATAAACATCCTCTCCTATTATATCCCAACAAGCATGGTAGAAAGCTCCAGTATATCCATCTGGACCACCTGCTGAGTCTGTATTTAAACCATATACTGCCCTCTTCACTTCTTCCCTTGTAGGTGTTGCTATCAAATTTTCATTCTGTTCTCTTTCGACCAGTCTTGGTACATGCTCCATGATGTGGAAATTATTAGGAACTATTGTCTCAGTGAATTGATCCTTATAGAATCTGATAGCTTCTTCTGCAATTTGTTCATCATCTTCTATCCAGTTATCCATATTGTCCTTGATCCTTTTCAGCTGTAACTTTTTCCTTCTGCCTTTCACTTGAACATGAAAGAACTTAGTATTTCTATCCCCATCCTTGAACCATAGCATCCCTGCTTTTTGTTTCCAAAACTCCTCTTCTAATGCCAAATATCTGATCATTTCTGCCTGTACCCTCTGCAGTCTTTCTCTATCATCTGAGTAGGGAATGCTTCAAATTGCCTCTCATGCACCAAGACCACCTCTTCTAAGCTTGCAATCTTCTGAAAAATATTACCAAAAGTTGCCTTACTCCATATTGAGAGAGCCTTCTTCAATTTCTTCAGCTTGTGATTGAACAGCACAAAGGGTTTGGCACTAAAGTCTGCTGTCCAATTCTCCTTCACCACTAATTTGAAAGTGTCATGTTTTGTCCATAAATTTAGAAACCTGAATGGCTTCTTAATGGGAGGGGCTTCTATATCACACTTCAATAGCATTGGGCAGTGGTCTGATCCAATCTTGGACAGATGTGTAACTTCCAACCCTGGAAAGGTTTGCTGCAGTTCCATGTTTCCCAAACACCTGTCCAGCCTTTTGAATATGCAGTCATCTTCTGATCTTCCATTCCACCAAGTAAATATGCTCCCCTTAAATCCCAAGTCTGAAAGATTACAAGTGTTGATGCAGTGCCTGAAATCATCCACCTTATTTAAATGCACAGGCAATCCACCAAAGTTTTCCTCCTCATCCCAAATAACATTAAAATCACCTCCCACCAACCAAGGAGATGTCATATCAGTAGCCATAGCATACAGGGAGTCCCATAGTTCTATCCTTTCAATTGCATCACATTTGGCATAAACCAATGTGAAAATGATCTCTACATGAGTTTCACTATGAAACAACTTCAAAGTCAATTGTTGCACCATGTTATAAAGAATTGTAACCTCAAACACTTCATCAATAAATGCCCAAATCTTATTTGAGACATTCACCACAGCCTGAGCCATACCTATTCTTGCCCTATATCTTTCTACTTTGTTAGATTGTTGCATAGGCTCTAAAATTCCAATGAATTCAAAATGATGTTGCATGTGCATTGTAATAAGCCTCTCAAATGCTTGCATATTATTCACTGACCTTACATTCCAGATTATGGAATCCATTAGAGATTTTGGTTTTTGGAAAGTGTTCTCCTGGTTTGAACTCCTCCTGCTGTTGCATTTGAAGTCTCTTTTGTTTGTTTTCTTCTACCTTTGGCTGCAGATTTGACCTGTTCAATATGCCTAGGTGAAAGATCCTGTTGCTTGGCAACATTGAGGAAGTTTTGGATAGATGATTCCTCATCCATGTCCCTACCTGTTTGCTTTGCATGATCTAGCTTCTCCTCTACCTCCCTAGTCCCTCCTGGCACCACAATATTATCAGCTTGTGGAATGGGGACAACAGCTTGGTCACTCTACATGTTACTGGTCTGCAGCTGCGCAGAATTCAATGGAACAGTAATTTCAATTGACTCCTGTAATTTTCTTTTTTGCTTGTCATCTGCTATTTCAGCTTCCTTAGTATTGGCATTAACATTACTAACACCTGCAGTTTGTACAGTCCCTCCTGGATCAATATTATCAATATTCCCTTCTTGAACATCTACTGCTTCTGCAGAAATGTCCTTATGATTGTGTTGATTCCCTTTGATATTTTCCTGTTCCTTGAGACCTGCTTGATATGGCCTTCCTTGTTATTCTGATTCCCATTGCTATTTTGCTAATCATTGGCATAAATTTCCTTATTGTTTAAGCTCTGATCTACAGAGGTTCCTGTACCCTTAGCTTTACCGTTTACAGTTTGATCCTCATCCTCCATTGAATCTCCTCCAATTTCCTCCTCACTTTGCATTCCATCTGGGATCTCTCCCTCCTCTGCATCTTCTTCTATTTGTGTCACGACCCAAACCCCGCACTGGTCGTGATGGCACCTCTCGTGAAGACGAGGCCAGCCAACTAACCCAACTCGTCTTTTCAAAAATAATTTAAACATGAATAAACAGCTAAAATATGACTTAATAATATTAATTAGCGGAATTACAACCCCACACAGCCCTAATCGGGGTGTCACTAGTCATGAGCATCTATTAGAATGTAAGTACAACCTCAAGGTCTAAAAATACACTAATCAAGAATAATGAACAATGGGAGAAGAACGATGCTGCAACGCTGGCAGTCACCTCGTTAAACTCCTATATCTCTGACTCTGATAAGCCAAACCCACTACCGGGTTAATAAATACCTGCATCTGCACACGGGGTGCAGGGAGTAAAGTGAGTACTCTAACTCAGTGAGTAATAAAGGTAAATAACAGCTGAGCGGTAAGAAATCACGTATGTCATATCATCATGCTATATAGAAGTAGTGTAAAACCTTTTGAGAAAGACAGTGAAGCCGTGAAATCATTAGAAATATCTTAGCTCAGTTTAAAACCTCTTTTGGAAATGACTTTTTCAACAGTATGCAAAGGAATGCAATTCAAATAGTGCAGATAAGCACAGAAGTCCGCCCCTCGGGCACCACACTCAATTAACAAATAATGTCAGACGATCTGGTAGATATCTCATGAAGTAGCACGACAACAGGTAAGGCAAGCAAATAAAATAAAGTAAACACACAGAACAATACTAGTACCGCTGCGGCGTGCAGCCCGCTCCACATATCGCTGCAGCGTGCAGCCCGATCTGTTTATCGTCGACGGCGCTCACTGGGGGTGTGCAGACTCCGGGAGGAGCCCCTTACGGTCCAAGCGCAATATCAAGCCATCTCGTGGCATCAATCTAGGCCCTCGGCCTCATATCAATATTAGTATAACATTGCTGCGGCGCGCAGCCCGATCCAAAAGTATCCTCACAATACAGGCCCTCGGCCTTACTCAGTCAAAATCACATAAGCCACTAGGGCAACAGTAAAACATGATGCTCAGCCCAAATATTGTTAGAAATATCATTTCAAGTGTTAACATAAAATAAACTTGGCTGATTCTTAAAACAGTGGAAAATACGTGACTGAGTTCAAGCATATAATTAAAACAGTGAGGAATTATCAACAACAATCCCCGAAGGGTTCAAATAGCTGGCACGAAGCCCAAATATGGCAATCAGCCCAAATTATGATGATAACAAGTAAATCTCAATCAAATACGCAGTAAATGCATCAATCGGGACGGACTAAGTCACAATCCCCAACGGTGCTCTACCCCACGCTCGCTATCCGGCGTGCAAGTCACCTCAATATAGCACCATGATGTGCAAATTCGGGGTTTCAAACCCTGAGGATATCATTCACAATCATTACTCACCTCGAACCGGCGAAATCTCTAGCTCGCGATGCCTTTGCCCCTCAAATCGTCCTCCACGCGCGTCGAATCTATCCAAACACAAAGCGAATACATCACAATATGCTAAGGGAACAAAGACCAAGCGAAAACAAACAATAACGGGCACAAATCCCGAAATTAGCAAAACCCGAGCCCCGGGCCCACTTCTCGAAACTCAGAAATTTTCACATTAACGGGTTCCTTATCTCCTCACGAGTTCATACATACCAAAAGTTCTTGAATCCGACCTCAAATGGTCCTTCAAATCCCTAAATCAAATTCCAAAATCCCAAGCCCTAGTTCTTCAATTTTAGGCTTAATTTCCATGAATTTCTAGGTAGATTACACAATAGAATCACGTTTGAGGTTCAAAAATCATACCTCCAATCGTTTCTCCTTGAATCCCTCTTGAATCTCCCTCAAAAAGTTCCCAAAACGATTGACAATGGAGGAAAAATGACTCAATATCGCAGATGACATATTTTATATACTTTTTGCCCTGTTCTGAACTTCCTTCATCGCGTTCGCGTCCTCAGCCTCGCGAATGCGAAGCATATATTTATTTTATCCAAAATTAACCTTATGCGAACGCGATACCCACACCGCGAACGCAATGCTTTATTCCTCAGACCTACGCAAATGCGACTCATATGATGCGAACGCGAAGAGCAAATCCGCTGGACCCCAACTCCTTATACGCGGACGCGAGAAGGTCTATGCGAACGCGAAGCACAATATCTTAGCCTTCCGCGAACGCGAGTCTTCAAACGCGAACACGAAGGCTTAAATTCCTACCTTCCAATTTCCTTCTACGCGAACGCGAGGTCCTCTCGCGAACGCGAAGAGATAAATCTCTGCAACACCTGAACTGAAATTCTGGAACTTTTAAACTTAAAAAATAGTCCGATTGACCAACCGAAACTCACCCGAGGCCCTCGGGACCTCAAAAAAACCTACCAACATAACCCATAACCTCATTCAAACTTGTTCCAATCATCAAAACACCTCAAACAACATCAAATTAGTCAAAACTCATCGAATTCAAGCCTAAGTTTCCAAAAACTTCCGAAATACACTTTCGAACAAAAACCCGACCAACCGATGTCCGAATAACCTGAAATTTTGCACACACATCACAAATGGCACAGCGAAGCTACAACAACTCTCAGAATCCCATTCCGACCCTCGGGTCAAAATCCCACCTATCAACCGGAAATCGCCAAAATACTAACTTCGCCAATTTAAGCCTAATTCTACACCGGACCTCCAAAACCAATTCCGATCATGCTCCTAAGTCATAAATCACCTAACGAAGCTAACCACATCATAAAAATTCCAATCCGAACTCGTATACAAACAAGTCAACTCTTGCTCAAACCTTCCAAATTCAAGGCTTTCAACTGAGACTGTTCTTTCAAATTCATTCCAAATTTTCTTGAAAACCAAATCCAATGATCTACCTTAGTCATAACACATTACACCGGGCAAGTCACGCCCGAGAACTAGAGATCAAAGCGCAAAAGCTCAAAATGACCGGTCGGGTCGTTACATCCTCCCCCACTTAAACACTCGTTCGTCTTCGAACGTACCCAGAGTTGTTCTAGAAACCAACCAGTAGCTGAATAACTTTACCATGCATATACCCGGGGGTGATCCCACGTCACCCTATATCATATAGGTCTGATAACATATTTTAACTGAAATTACACAATCCGGTCTAGCCCATAAATCATAGAACCACATTTTTACTTCTGAAACCATCAATACGATTAAAACCTCACACCTATACTCTGAATAGGCCCGAACCAGCTGTAATA